AAGTAGTGGAGTACGTCCAAAAGAGTCAGTCATATCAAGAGATAATGGTGAATGGTCTATAATGTACTTGACTATACTCGATGATCCTTCTTCACAGGCTACATGAACTGGAGCTATTCCATTGTAATCTTTAATAGTGAGATCCAACTGATGCTCCTCCACTAGATGTTTGAGTATAGGAAGAGAATGACTTTTACATGATAAATGAAGAACTGTTGATCCATTTGAAGTTTTAGCTGATAACTCACACTGAGGAAGACTAGTGAGGAAGAGAACTATAGCAACATGTCCTTCCTGACATGCTATGTGAAGGAGTGTAGACTGAGTATCATCAAAGGGAGTAGTGGCATTAATATCAAATGAATAATTGTTTAATAAATGCTTTAAACAATACAAATGGTTGTATTGCATAGAATAAAAAGGTAATACACCATTCTTAAATGAAACTGCATTGATATGATATTCTTGTCTGAGCCATTCTAGTATATGAACACATCCATTCATCACTGCAACTTCTAGTGATGATGATATGCCAAATATTCTAGGATTAAGGTTGCAATGTTTTATTAATAATTTCAAAAGATTAAGATTACCAGATCTACATGCCCATGTGACACAAGTGTAGCTTTCCTTATTTACAGTAGTGACATCACATTTCATTACATTAATTAGAAGTTTCACAAGTTGTATTACACCACTAGCACAGGCATAATGAATTGGTAGAGTATCTCTATCATCAGTAGAATGCAATAGACTAGTATATTGTGGATAATTATTAATAACGTATTTAATAAATAAATAATGACCATTTGTTGTACAATAATGGAACACATTCATGTTAGTTGCTCCACCTACTCCATCCATATAACATCCACAATCTTTTACTAAATACTCCAACACATCAATAGCACCAACTTGAGCTGCACAATGAACTGCTTGCATACCGTCACCACCTTTAACTTGAGGACCTAGTTTATATTCATTTACTAATAATTTAATTAATGATAGTTTAGTACTATATACTGCTTGAATTAATGCAAATGATGAAAGAGGCAATTGATGATTATTAATGAAGTATTGGACTAGCTTCATGTTACCACTAATAGCACTATGATCTAATGCATTCCATTCCTTATTATCTGTTATGTTAATGTCACTGTCTTGTACTTCAATGAGATATTGACTCAGATCAACATTACCATGACGACATGAATAATGAAGAGGTGTTCTACCCTCATTACAGGTTATATTAATATCAATGTCAGTAGTATTCATAATATATTCTACTGCATTGATACTACCTGACTTAGAAGCTAATGCTAATGGTACTACGCCTTTGTAGTCTGGTTGACTGGCATTCAAGCTATACTGAGATACAGTATAACTGAGTAGAGTAAGTGAACCTGATAAAGCAGCATAATGTACTGCAGACCGACCCTCATAATCTAATGAACTTGTATTAATACCATACTCCTCTAATACCTTCACTAATAATATACTACCACTAGTACATGCTAAATGAACCAATGATTGACCAGTAGCAGCAACAGAGTTTATATTGAAATTATTAATAATGCTTGTCTTCTTGAGGAGTGTAGACAAAAGGCTCACTCTTTTATGCTGTTTAGTAACATTTCTATTTAGTGATACATATTTATGCCAGTCTTTTTTGTAATAGATGCCAAATTTAGGATT